TGGCGGGGCGTGGGTGGCGGCCCCCCCCAAGCAGCCGCGGGGCGGGACGGGACGTAACTGGCGCCCCGCCTGCGTCACGCTGCGTTCGGGACAGTGAAAGGGGGGGGTGTCTCAGCCCTGGGGCGGGGTGTGTCCCTCAGCCTGCCTGGACCTGCCCCCCCCCACATTGGGGAGCCTACACGGGTGCGCCAAACCTCTCCCCCCATGTGGGGCTGGAGCACACAGTCTATTAGGTTGTGTCCCCCCCCCCCAAGCTCTGGTATGGGAGGGGTTTGTGCAGGTCTGTCTCATTCAGCTGTGTCTACACAGCAGTTATTTCCCAATATCGGCCGTTTTCCGAAATAGCTTTCCAAGCGTCTACACAGCCGTGCCCCCTATCTTGAAATAACGGACGGCTTATTCCGGCTTCTGTAAACCTTGTTCTACAAAGACACGTATTCCGACAGAGATATTTCAGAACAGGGGCTGTGTAGCTAAGGTAAAAACTGCTACTTCAAAATAGGGGACCCTCCAGCCCTTCCCAGGGTGCCTTACTGGGCTCTGTTCACACTCAGCCAAACGCTGTTCCTCCCTCCCCTGTCCCTTAAAGTGGCAGCCTCTGCAGAAAGAGCTTGTGGCTAGCCAGAGGCCTGATAGACCAGAGCCTTTTCCCCCAATATGAGCCAGTCTGTTACTCCCACCCAGCGTTCCACTGCTCCCAGGAATCAGTCAGACAGCTGCCAAAAAGGACGTGCACAGATCCTGGACCTTATTGAAATGTGGGGTGACAAGACTAACCTCCAGGATCTCCACACCAAATGCAGGAATGTGGACATCTATGGCTGGATGGCCGACAGCCTGGCCAACAAGGGGCACATCCGCACCCAAGAGCAGGTGCGGATGAAGGTCAAAGAGCTCCATCAGGCATATGCCAAGGCCAGAGAGAGCAACTCCTGCTCCAGGGCAGAACCCCACACCTGCCCTTATTTCAAGGACCTAGACTGCATCCTTGGAGGTGGGGCAGCCCCTTTCCTACCTTCCCCCCTTCCGGTTGTAGACTCCAGGCTCAAGACACCTGTCATGGTGCTCGTGGAGGAGGAGGAGGGAGACTAGAAGGAGAAGGACATGGAGCCAGACGAAGCCAGCATCAGCACCCAGCTGTCCTTGGAGCCAGAACCCACCCTCCACAAGCCTTTTCTAGGAGTCTGGGGACATCGACACACACTCAGCATCCCGCACATGGGCATGCCTGCACTCTCAGGGCAGCACCCACTCCCGGGGACATCTGGGCCCATTGGCCAGAGCGCACAAGGCCTTGCTTTAATCCTGTTGCCTACGACTGAGCCAAGAACTGTTACTCTCGGCTCACAGATGAGGGCTAGGCTTCAGGCACAGTATCCCCTGGGATGACTGACCATCTCTCTTTATTCTCCACAGCTGGACTAGCTGCGAGAGAGGGGTGATCGACACCACTCAAAACAGCCTCCTGAACTTGAGACATCCACAGGCGCCACAGATCCATAGCCAAGACCAGAGACAGCACCTGGCAGCACTCCGATCCATAGAGCAGATCATCGACTGCAGGCTCCAGGAGGACATCCAGCTGCATCATGAGACCTGGCGGGAGCTACTGACGCAGGGCTGTTCCCTGTGCGCAGATGTGCATTCACTCATAGTCAGCATGATTCTTGCTCCTGCTCCAGCTTCTGTTCCCACTCCTGCTGTAGCTCATCCTCCCACTCCCGGTCCCCCTTCCACTTCTCCCCCACCAGCCTAGCCCCACA